ATTGTGGACCATATTGGAGGTTGGCCGTCAAATTGGGAAAAATCTTTTTTTACAAGAATTAATTCGAGCAATTTTCAGCCATTTTAACCCTTCAGCTTCGAGGAACTTTTCACACATTGGACCAAAAGACCTTTCAGTACATTAGATCCCATGCCCTGAAGCTATGCTCGTTATGTGTAGGGGTGAGGAAAGGTGGGTGTGTGTGTAGAAAAATCCAAGGTATTCCTTCTGCCAATAAATAACGTTCAATTCAGATTAAATTTTTAATTGTCAGGTAATACTGAAGTTTATCATTATTTTTTATATTTCTTGTTTTTTAAAACTTAAGGGTTGAGAATAGTGTATTGAATTATAGAGTAAAGATTTGACAATCATGTTTTCTGTTTTCAGGTGTGTCAACAGATAAATTACGCTAGAAATCTTTACGATGATGAAACACATACCCTGATACAAACTGATAATAACAGTGGAATAAAATAGATATCTAGTTAGTATCATTGGACAATATCTAGAAACTTTTACGATGACAAAACTCTTTTACAGATGGAACAAAATAGTAAAAAATATAGATATTTAGAGATTTAAAAAACCTCAGAAATTAGTCAATTGTAGGATGATCTATGATTCTTTACTACGGATGGATGGACCATGACGGTGAAAATATAGATATTTAGATATTAGATAGCCTTAAAAAATATCGGTTGTGACATTATTTTGAAAAGGTGTTGGAGTGATGATGTCACGGTCTTTTAAATATATTATATGGTAGGAATTGATATTGGATTATTTCAAAACATCTGGTGTGGTATTATCAGGAAATGCTAATAAAAATAAAAGATAGAAAATCATTAATGAAGCTCTGAGATCGAGTTTTCTAGAAATAACAGACATTCCATAAATCTCCATAAAATTTTCTTATAGACTAGAGTTCATCTCATGCTTCTAACAGATGTTTCAGATACACAATCCTCATTAGGACAGCTAGTTTGGGTACTGGACATAAACTTTCCATCACAAGATTGCTAGTCTATTGCGGTCAGCACGTGCTTCAGATACACAATCCTCATCAGGACAGCTTCGAGATTAACTTTCCAATATAGTACTTAATATTAGCTAATTGACTAGAGCTCATATTATGCAGCCAAGATGTTTCAGATACCCAGTGCTCTCCAGGGCGACAACTGTTTTGATGTTAACATTCCTGTATCGGACTGTGGTGATTGAGCAATAATTCTCTGAACAGGAGAGAGAAATCAATAAGAGAATATTCAAAACGAAGACTCTCAATAATTCTTATCAATACTATCTTAAGCTCAGCTGCTCAGCTCATACTGCCGACATGTTCAAGATATATAATCCTCATCAGGACAGCTAGTTTTAGAAATGGAGGTTAATATTCCAATATAGGACTTAATGATAGCTAATTGACTAGAGCTAATTTCATACTACAGACACATGTTCCAGATATGCAATCCTCATCAGGACAACTAGTTTTAGAAATGGAGGTTGATTTTCCACAGTAGACTAAGCGAGGTCATTAAAATAATAAAAAATAAACTTTGTGTCAAACCAAAGAGTTATAATATAGTGTTTTCTGTAAATGATTCACATTCAGGGTAATTTATAGTCTAGTTATTTTCATGGATATTTTCCTGTCATTTTCATTTTGCTGTAGAACATATACAGAGATATATATTTGTTGTTCAATGGTGATTTTGTTTTAAGACATTTCGTATATATTTAGATAGAACCACTGATTTCAGATGCTCACACAGTTTACTGTATAAATGTGATTTTAATGCGCACTAATTTCGGCTGCTATACTGTATTATTGCGCACCCCTTCCTTTTCCTCATAATATTTTCTTTACGAACATGTGAGACTGTCTGACCGAACAAAGTATTGTACCATAAAAAATATTTCTGAATTTCGAAGACAATTATTAAAAAAAAAAACGTCTGCTCTATGTCCAGGGATTGTAATGAGATTTTCTAGCATCTTTTTCTTGCATCTTTTTCTTGCCTCATTTCGGGTTAACTCTTTCGGGAATTGCAGGAACCGCATGCATCGGACGAAGAATTGGAATATACAAAATAGTCACATGCGTCCCCGATACTCATAAAAGGCTAGAAAGCCTCTTTACAATCCTTTAAGTAGTATTCAATACAAAATGAATCTATATAGTTGCTATTTCTATTTTATATACAAATCATTGTAGACTGGCTGTATTTATATTTTATATCAGACGCAGCTAATGAACTTATCACATGAAGAAATATATCAATCAATAAGTCAGTTAGAATTAGACAGTCAGAATTAGTCAGTCAGAATTAGACAGTCAGAATTAGTCAGAATTAGACAGTCAGAATTAGACAAGGATAAGCATCAGTCTAATAAGAATTTGGCTTTCGTTCTGTTTTTTAGTTAAGGTCTAAAGACTGCCCTCTTAAACATTACTCAAAATAACCTTTTAACCTAACTGATGTCATCTGCTTTAACCAATCAAATTCATTCACACTCTCACAAAAATGCCAGCGGTCGAGAGGGAAGAAATTTGATTGGTTAAAAGGTTATTTTGAAGAATGATAAAGAGGCCAGCATTTAGAACCTAACTTAAATAAAAAGTAAAAGCGAGTAAAAAAGGAACGAATTAGATTAGAATATGATGAACATACTAATATTGTTGATTCTCCTAGAAACAAACCTCGACTGTAATTACTAGCTTTGTAAATATTGATTAGATTTATTTATTTTGTTGTTGTATTATTTTAATTGTGTTTATGTTTTTTTCTGATAATGAAGGGTTTTGTCGATATGTATGCCTGAAGATTGCACAGCGTGAGACTCAGAGTTACATGTTTCTGTTTTAATACCTCTATATCGCTCTGCAATTGATGTATTGAGCACTATTTTAACAGTGGTATTTCTATATCACTCTACAATTGATGTATTGAGTACTATTTTAACAGTGGTATTTCTATATCGCTCTGCAATTGATGTATTGAGTACTATTTTAACAGTGGTATTTCTATATCGCTCTACAATTGATGTTTTGAGCACTATTTTAACAGTGGTATTTCTATATCGCTCTACAATTGATGTTTTGAGTACTATTTTAACAGTGGTATTTCTATATCGCTCTACAATTGATGTATTGAGCACTATTTTAACAGTGGTATTTCTATATCACTCTACAATTGATGTATTGAGCACTATTTTAACAGTGGTATTTCTATATCACTCTACAATTGATGTATTGAGCACTATTTTAACAGTGGTATCTCTATGACGGGTGTGACGCCAGGCAGGGTATGCTTACCCTTCTAGACACCTGATACCACTTTTCATTATGAAATACTTACTCAATGATGATTGATATAATTCCTCATATGAAAAGCTACTTTGCTACAATCAATGTATTACTAAACTGTTAATTTGGATTTCAAGTTTTGTTTTGCAGTTCGGATCGTTGTATTTTTTTTTATTCAAAACAAATCGACTTCAATAAAAAACAATAAATGTGCTCAATACATCAAGGGTAATGTAACAGGTAATAGACAGACCTGGAAATTCTGACGAGAAATGTAAAACTGATCGCTGTAAAAATGTTTTTATTACTAGATAATGATGTTAATTATGATTAAAAAGTTCGTGAATTTGTTGAAATTTTGTTGAAACCCATATTGCACAATGTGAATGTTTTATAGGCATTGTCAACAGTTTTTCTAAATCGGACACTGATCACATCAATTTACACCATTCTAATTTTCAATTGAACGGATGCGGTTCCTGCAATTTCATTAAAATACACATTAATAAGGCCTTTCATGATAAGTGGGGTCATCAAACACCTCCAGGAAGCACAGACGTCTGATTGAAAATAGGATTGGTGTAAATTGATACCATCAGTGTCCCCGATTCAAATAAAAATTTAGAAAACCTTTTACAATCACTTTAAGCTTCTGTAACTATGGCCGTTCGTCAGTACATCCTATTTCTCCACCAACATCCAGAACTCACAGTTTTTGTCCAATTAATCACCTCAATACCCCCTCATTAAAAATCAAAAATTACACCCTAGGAGATGAAAACCCTTGTGTTAGTTGAGCTTGTATTATTTTTGATTTAATCAAGATGTTATGATGTCATGATCACTTCCTGGTTCTTATCGTCTTATCTGGTACCGAAATACGTGATTATCTCTGGAACTATTCCTATATACCCGACCAGTCAACTGTATGAGATTGTTACATAAGGTAGCGTGTATTGAGGTACATCTTGGTTTTTATCTGCTGCAGGGGGACGTCATGATGACCTAGTCCGCTATATCAACCTCTATTCCAGCGCCTATCTATTTAGACATTTATACGAAACTACGTATGGTTCTTACATGGAAATAACACACACAAACGTAGATCACAACCATTTTGAATCTCTTTTGTCTATTTGTTTTAAACAGGCTATCTGAGGCTGGAATAAAGGCAGACGTTTCTGTCTATCAGAACCCCTAACACACAACTTCAGATGTTATTCATTAAACCCCTGGTTTCAAACCTCTTCCAGCTCCAGGTACCTCGCATCTTCACAATGTCAAGCTGTTACGAACTTCGTCTTATACCTTGACTATTGACTATTACCACTATTCTTGTTGCTTTTGTAAATACAGAGATTTGATTGGATTGTACACTTGCAAATACAGACAATCAATAATGTTTACAGTCTTTCTGTCGAAGGTCATTATAAAGCTACACACCAAACACCAAACCAAGTCAAACTGCTTAACAATGAGTACTCCGTTTTCAATTAACATTTTTAAAACAAATTCAGTTTGATCAAGAAGATATATAGATATAAATATCATATTGTAGAAATATTTTCAGTTATAATCTACAACATTTTGATGTATAAAAACTTTTTACAAAAAAGCGGAATATCCCTTTAAAATGATTATTTATAAACTGCAGATTAATACAAAAGGATGACCCGCAAAAATTAAAAAAAACTTTATTTTGGTCGAATTCTGTTGGTATTTAAAGATAAGATAAGAGTTTTATCTGACAGAAGAAAGTCTTCAGACAACATGGATAGAGTGTTTCTCTCTCTCGTCCTTCTTGTAGGTAAGTTTCAAAACTATTTAAAATACAGGGATTTAACTTGAAAATGTCCTAGGTCAGGCGTCTGTCAGAGGCAAGGGCAAAATCTCCTTGAGACCTCGTGTCTATGGGCTGCAATGTTTAACTGTTGATCTGAGTTTGATCATTGAAATTTGGGGATTTACCAGAGGATGAGGACAGATTGTGTTCCCTTATTTATTTTAAAATCGACACCTACATGTAGATAGATACAACAACGATCTGTCTGGTTTGATTGTAGGAGTGGCAAGTGCCAAGAATCTAGGAATCGTGGACGGTAAACCGGCTGAAGAGGGTCAGTTTCCTTGGCAAGTGTCGCTTCAGGTGCTCGTACCAGGCCTGGGCTGGGCTCACGTCTGTGGTGGATCGCTCATTTCTAAAAATAGAGTCCTGACTGCAGCACATTGCTATGATTCATCATTGTAAGTATAAACCAGTCCTCTTAATGTCGACTTACACCTCTTCCTAATTAGGGGGTTCTTGGGTGC